CTCCCCCCCCCCCCCCAACCCATCCACATTTCTAAAGCACTTCAGAAGTGTTCTTTTTTTGTTAATCGGCGTTCAAATTTTTATTATTATTATCATCATAATTAGAAATCTGGACTACTTCCTCCTCACAATTTCTTCACCTTCCTAAGGCTAATTGGGTAAAAACTTGGGTAGTCTCGCCAAGACATCTTAAAGATTCACAGGAAAATGAATTTGATGGGAGGGATTGATCTCAAGAAGATTGCTGAGAAAATGAATGGTGCCTCTGGTGCAGAATTTAAGGTATGCAAGACTTTTGTTTACCATAAATTAAGGTTTAATTATAAGCATTATTTTCTGCTGAAAGCATAATGATACTTGCACACACCTATTATATCAGTCACTTTCGACACAAAAAGTCCTTGATTTTTTCATGCCTTGTTGAACCGATATGCGTTTCTTGACAGCAAAACTTTTACATGTAAAAGTTTGTGCATGAGAAGTCATTGTGTCTGATTTTGAAGTTGCAATTCCTCAGATTTTCTGTAAAGCACACAATTTTAGGATATATTCCATGTATGTTGATGGGAGTAGTAGGAATTTGCGTAGCCAACAATGTTGTTTGCAGAGATTTTATGATAGTGAAAAAACTTTTCTACTCCATATTATCCCTACATTTTGTACTGCAGAATAAATGCATGCAATTTTTTATTATTTTCTCTGTTCTGTTTTTCGTATTTCTATAGCTTCAAATGAGCTTTTCATACTTAAATATCCGGTTATTCATTGAGAAAAATTTGAAATTCATTTAGCCTATTTTCGTCTCCTGTTTATAAACGGTTTATAAACACTCATGTTTTTTATCCACATTCCGAGGCCACGAGTACTGCCTATTTATCCACCACTCGTTACTATTTTTTTATGATTTGAACTTTTTAAACACTTCCCACACATGCTTTAAGATATGCAATGGATATTGATTTTGCTAAGACGACCAGATCAAAGTATCTATTTATCTGAGTGGGGACAATTTTGCTTTCCCATGCCATTGGCACCAGAATTTTACAATTGCAGTGGCAAAAATGGGTATACTTTTAAGCACGACTTGGGATGTTGTTTTAGACATTGGAATGTGGAAAAGGGAAGAGACTACTTTTCGAGCTGATTTTTACTGAAGTTGCATTGCCTTTTACTACGATAGTCTGCATCCCTCTTATATCACCTTCCCCACCCCCACCCTCTCTCACTCTCTCTCTCTCTCTGAATCAATTCATTCGGTGGCTGAATTGATAGGAAATCTCGTATGTATTTAGTCAAGTGTAGCACTTTTCATTAGAACTCTTGGATTTATTATTATATTTTCATTTTAAGTTGTGCTTTTGGGTGGAAGAAATTCTGACATTATGGTTATTTGCAGGCTGTTTGCACTGGAGCAGGGATGTTTGCTTTGAGAGAGAGAGGGTTCATGTCACTCAGGAAGACTTTGAGATGGCAGTCGCGAAGGTAATGAAGAAGGAAACGGATAAAAATATGTTGGAAGTAGATCAGTTATTCCTAGCAGCTACTTAATTCGGTCTTGTGGTTGAGCTGAAAGACATGAATTGCACGATAAAACCCACTTGTATATTTGTGCTCGACCTCATGAGTCACAACTTATGTGACAGTTTTATTGTGATTTGTTAACTTGCTGCAAATGTTATATCTGGATACATAACACATGCAATTAAACAGCTTAACTACCATCTAATTGTTTGTCTATTCACTTATTGCACATGGTATTGGATTAAATCTATATGGAATTATTGCCGACCAAAAAGGAACAAAATCACAGGCCCAAAAAAGAAATGCACTAACTTTAATGTTTTAGTTTAAATAAAAAAGTATTATGTATTCTCAATCAATCTCCTCGGTTGCACATGGGCTGCTCAGAATTAGATCTCGAATGTCCATTTTTTGAAATTTTCTTATTGAAAATTCTGTGTTCTTCGATGACACACCATCCCAGATATCCATTAATGAATTTGAATAGCATTCTTGTTTCTGTTAAAAGAGTGTTGGGGTTCTCGGTGAGGTGATTTGAATCGACTATTGATTTTACTATTGGTAGGCTCGACACTTGCTAATGGACTCTCACTAGATTGATTTTCTAATCATTTTTTATACCTCTAGTAAAGATTAAAGAGTTGGCAGATTGAGGTTTAAAGGAGGTTGGGATTTAGGGGCGAAGATGGGGTGATGGTGGAATTGAATGTGATGCAATGAATGATTATTAAACAAATTGTCCACCACCATGTGTGTCTTCAGCCTACATCACATGGAACATAATCACAATTTTAAAAAATCGAAGACCTCTGTATACAGGATTTAACAATAAAATACATAGGATTATTATTAATTTATTTTTAATTACT